TCTACATCCTGCTCATACCGCATCCAAGTTTCAGTGATAGCTATTATCACCCAGTTTTGGGTGCGCGTCGCCAACTCTCCCCATTTTCCCCTAAAACTGCAGGTGTTAGTGCAGCATACTGTGACGGTGTCCACCTCCAACTTCATACAACTCTTCTCTATTGCTTGGGGTGGATCCTCGGACGTAAGGGCCGAGGAGCTATTACGTTTTTTGATACCATGTTTGCGGGTACCGGGCGATCAGGCTCCGTGAAAGACCAGGCTATACCCTCCACAAACTTCATTATGTCTTTGAGGGTTAATCCAATTCCTCACCGAATCTTTCCGTGGGCGCTCGCTGCCTTCTAAGCATGGATAGTGTCTTACTCAGAGGGGGAGTGTCCTGATTATCCCTTGCTACCACTGTGGCCCAACCAACGGACTCTGATTTCGCCTTTCTATCAGCGACCGTAGACTCACCCATCTTTTTAGCTGCCTCAGCCTTGGATAGCTCTGACGGAGTGATCTTAAGTGAGCCGTCTGCTCTTCTGTTATCTGTTTTCTTCCCAGGGACTCCAGCTCGTGACTTCCTCGGCTTTTTCTCCCATCTACTGTCGCCCTTTTGCCCATCTGGTTTGGGTTTTAGGGGCGTGGACTTGCTCAACCGTGACCCAGCTGATAGACTTTGATGGAGCACCCTGCGTTGGCGTGCCTCGACGACTTCTACTCCATGCGCCATATGGGCGTTTAGTTTGTTCAGAATAACTCTGGGCTTCTTTAGTTGCATTATTCTTGTTGCAGGATCAATGAGGATGACTCCCCGCTGGGCGTGATGAACTTTATTCGGGGTAAATTTGATGCATCCCCTGGTGGTCATCTCCACTGCGACAGCCCTCGAGAGCAGGAGGTTCCGGCTGTATGTGCTGTAAAATACTTCTAGTATAGGCCTAGGTCTGGCTGTCTGGTTCTGCATCCACAACCCAACCTTGTGGCATTTAATTTAGGGCGTATTGGCCAGTATATCCGCCAGTCGGAAAACATCTTGAACGTGTCTGCGATCCGCCTTTCGTCGCGCTTTAGTATCGCAAATCATTGGCTCTACAAAGTTATGTAGCAAGACGTTTCTCGTTCGACATGATAGCACCTGAGTGCTGCGTTGCAGATCTCGAAGACCTTTCTCCAGCTGCTCTATACGTGCAGTCACTTCTATCGACTCCAACGGTTTAACCGTATCCCCTTTGCGTGGTTTCTTTCTCTTTGTGCTCGTGATTTTCTCCTTTCCATTTTTTTCCTTCATAGTATGTTTAACGCGAGTATTGGAGATTTGTGGTGAACTGGTGGTCACAGCCCCTACCAAGGCTCCTTTCAGAATGCGTGAACATTCCTCTATCAGAGCCTCGCAGTGTGCGCATATCCACTTCAATGCTCCATGTTGAAGGTGCAGTGCATGGCACTGATTCGACATCTTGGAGCATTTTTCGTGATACCACGAGCCACATCTATTACACCGGATACCATTAATAACCGCTCTACCACAAACACTGGCTCTGCACGTGTCAGGATGCTTTACCATGGTTGCTTTAGTAACAATGAATACAGACCGCGTATCGTGCGGGACAACAATACATAGAAAAAGCACCTCAACTTGCACAATCCCCCGGGCAAAAATATTCAACCAAAAATGAATCAAGCCCGCTTCAAAACGGGACCAAAAATTCCCAAAACTTAAAACTGGCTGATCAGTGGGGTCGAATGTACGATGCAACGACTGAGAAAAAGCCTATGAAATATCTACTGATATTTCACTCTCAACTATATGACGCTTTGAAGGTGTGACCCTTTTGAGGTCACAAAATGAAACCAATAGTTTTGTCAGGATCAAAGAAACAGCTCGCAATCAACCTCTCCAAGTTATCCAGAGTAATAGGTGTGTTGGGAGGAGAAACATGACCTAAAAGTTGTGGTACTGGATGTTGAGAAGTTTCAGTAAAATGTGGTGCACAGTGAATAAAAAATGGAGCTGAGGGAGTTGGAGAAATCAAAGTGGAGTATGAGATAAAGAGTAAAATGTAAGGAGCGGGACGGAGACAGACGAGCTATTAGCGACCTTAAGCCCGGTGTCAGATACAATCGGGGAACGCTGATACCCAGGATGCGTCAAGCTTCAGCTTGAACTCGGCAATGGTTTTTGACGCCACTACCTCCTGAGGCAGTTTGTTCCATGTATTAATTTCCCGGTGCAAAAAAAGGTGACTCTCAGGCGTTTGAGTACCCGAGGCTTGTCTAACTTCATGCTGTGTCCCCTTCTGTTGGGTACACCATTCCGCTGAAGTAGTTGGGAGATTCCCTGAAAGAAACCCGGCAAGATACGGAAGGTTTCGATTAGGTCCCCCCTCAGCTTTCTCCGATTGGGTAAGAACAGGTTCAGCCCCTGAAGGCGTTCGGCATATGTTGCTCCCCGGAGTTGCGGGAACATGCGTGTGAACCTCCTCTGCATCGTTTCGAGAGCTCTTTGGTCCTACTTCAGAGTAGGGGACCAGCTTGCACACAGTACTCAAGGTGCGGCCGAACGAAGGCCATGTAGAGCGGGACTGGCTCGTCAGGATCCCTAGACGTCCTTGTGCGCTGAACAACGCTCTATTGGCCGTACGTGCCGCAGCAAGACACTGGGCAGAGGAGGTGAAAACGGAGTTCAGAGTGACCCCTAGGTCCCTGATATCTGGTACTACTACCATAGCCTCCCGTCGCGACCTTCATGTAGCGTGGCCCCGCCCCCTGAGCACTCCCGGCTCGTAGGACCTTAAACTTCGCTGCATTTAAAGGANGTTTAACTTCGTCTGCAAAGATGAATGCCGGGTTTGATAGACGGGGGACTAGATCATTGCTGAAGACAAGAAACAACAATGGTCCAATACCGAGCCTTGTGGGACCCCGCTATAGGCGTGCCCACAGTCCGACCAATCCCTCTCCACCTCTACGCGTAAGGTTCTCCGTATTAGGTAGCTCTCGGTTCACCTGACTGAACTAGGGATCCACTCTAGTTTAGTCAGGTGAACTGAGGTCAGGTTCCGTTAAGTTCATTTGGACATGACAGGACAGTTCACAGGACCTGCGGCTTGAGCCAGTATAATTGTCCAGGTTCTTGCGTTTACGGGCCACGTGTGTCTCGTAACGCTTGGACAGTTAGTTGCTCGGTTCTTGGTGGTGTAGGAGTACGGCCGCGGAGCATGGACACCAATACGGCTTGCTGTCAATGAAAGCAGTACCAGCTGATCAGTCACAGGCTAACCAGGAGGTCCGAATACCCCTCCAGCAAACAGTAGAGAACCCGAGGCATGTGAAAATAGATTAAGATGGGAAATGAAAAATAAGTAAGTAAATAAGAAAAGTAAGCTAGTACGGGAAGGAGGGCGTGGGGAGCTGCAGATACCCAGGTGAATTGAAGGTAGTTGAAGTAAAATGGGATGATATACTTAATAGCAAAGATGAAAGGGGAGTGCAGTTCGGGAAAGCTAAAGGCATAGCTACCACCAAGGACTTTTGCTTCTTTCCTAAGGCTGATTCGGGGAGGGTTACGTCTCACACTTCATCAAGCCTTCTTTTGAACAGCGCCAGTGTGGACACCAAGACAACCTCGTCAGGAAGTCTATTCCAGGCATTGACCACTTTATGAGAGAATTAGTTTGCTCTTTCTCTCTTTAATGCATGGGGTTTGACCAGCTTCAGCTGGTGTCCTCTTAGGCCTGGGTTTTCACTGAAGGAGAATAGTTGCCTGCTAGGCTGTGAGAGTCCGTTCAGCATCTTGAAAACTTCTATTAGGTCACCTCTCATTCGTTTATGAGATAGGGAGAAGTTTAGCTCTCTCAGGCGCCTCGGGTACGACATCATTCTCAGGGCAGGAAAAAGCCTAGTGAATCGTCTCTGGACGTGCTCTAGAGCCTTTTGGTCGCATACGAGGTTCGGCGCTCATGCCTGTACGCAGTATTTGAGGTGTGAACGCATCAAGGCCTTGCAGAGGGACAGTAAAACCTCAGGGACCCTCAATGCTACTGTTCTCAGCGAAAACAGCGCCCTAGAAGCCTTTACTGTGGCTAGATGACACCGTCTTGTGGACTGGAAGGAACCATGCATGACGATACCTAGGTCCCTGACCTCGTCAGTCATTTCCACCGGTGTGGGCCCTGTGCCATTTATCAACCTCGCCTCTTCAATGGATCCCCTAAGAGAAGCTGTTTACACTCGCTAGCATTTAGTGGCAATAACCACTCCTCCGTCCACTTCTGGACTTCTTCTAGGTAATCCTGGATGGCGTAGGTGGAGGGGTCACCGATAAGTTTTACGTCATCGGCAAACAGAAAGGAGGGTTGTACTATCCTCTTGGTCAGGTCATCCATGTAAATTAGGAATAGTAGAGGTCCCAGTACGGACCCTTGAGGTACATCACTACAGGCTGCCCCCTAGTGGACATTTCACCCCCTATCCTGACATAGAAGGACCGGTCAAGTAGGTACCCCGTAATACATCTGACAACCTGTTCGGACAGACGGAAGGTCTTTAGTTTTTCGATCAACAGTCGGTGGTTGACTGAGTCAAATGCCTGTTGGAAGTCCAAGTAACAGACTTCCACACGCTCCCCCTGATCAAGCCTTTGGGTGATCTCGTCCATGAAGTCCAGAAAGTATGATAGGCAGGACTTCTTTTGCACAAACCCGTGCTGGTTGGGAGATATCAAACCTTGGCTTAGAACGTACGATTCCTGAGGACTCTTTCCATAATCTTCAGTGTAATAGGCAGCAGACTGATGAGCCTATAGTTTCCTACCGAGTCCCTGGGCCCTCCCTTGTGTATAGGCAACACCTCTGCTATTTTCAGTCTGCTGGAAGTTGGCCGTGACATAGGGATAGGTCAAACAGGCGGCCCAATGGATTGGCAATAACTGTGGCCAGGGATTTCAGTATGGCTAAGTGGATACCATCTGATATTGCCGATTTGCCTGTATTTGGGCGCATCAGGTGATCCTCAATCTCCTGGGGGAGAATTTCGCAGTCTGTCATATGTGGGAGGGGCCTTGGAGTTTGTTGCCCCCCGGGTGCCCCGATGTCCCTTACGTGAACTGCTTCAAAGAAGCGTCTGAAAAGTTCCGCTTTCTCAGAGCTGGCTAGGACCGAGTGGTTGCTCTCATCTTTAAGAACACCTATCGCCGTACGCAGTTTTGAGTTAACTTGTACGTAGTCGAGGGATGCCTTGGGGCATTCTTTAATTCTCCGCACCAGTATCGTTTCGAAGGCCCTACGGCAAGCCGTCTGGGCATTAATCGTCCCGTTTCTCTCCCTGAGGTACTGGAGATGCCTTTGGTGGCTGCGGGTCCTGAGGTACTAGCTCCAGGCTTGATGCTTTTGAGCTTGTGCCTTTGCTACCGTGCTTGACTACCAGGGGAGTTTGCCGTTTCTGCGGATCCTCCTTAGTGGAGCAAACTCTGAAGTGAGTATTAATAGATTGGACTTAATGATGTCCATAGCCCTTCTATATTATTGAGTTGCCCCCCCCCAGTGAAGATCAGCGGCTCTTTCAATGAGGGAGTTACTGTATATTCTGTGGGAGGCTCTCCTCCATTTTATGTAAGGGTTTGGGCCATCTTCCTGTAAACAGAAACGCAGGACTACATGGTCACTCCTACCCAGCGTTAGGGAGATTCCCATGTTGGCCCCGTCAATGGGATATTTACTCAGGACTAGGTTCAATAACCCAGGATTTTTCCCGCTGCGATAACGCGTGAGGTGGTTGCTGTATTGGACTGGGGCGCATCCAAAGGTAAAACTTACTAGCAAGTGACCAAAACTGTTTGATGTTGCCCACGTGGTATTCTAGTCGACTTCCAGGGCATTAACGTCGGCTAGAATCAACACGCTGGTTGACCGGTAGCTGAACTGTTTGAGGTATGATAGTAATTGCTCATCCTCCACCTGGGATGCTGAAGGACTGCGATAAACAGCCTACCGTCAGTTTCTTTGTGGGGAGGTGTATCGCACAGGCCGCTAACTTGATGTTAGGTTTTTTAAGGGAGCGACTGTTTCAGTTTGGAGCTGCTCGCTGGTCATGAGCAGTGCTCCTCCCCCTATACGATTGTCTTCCCTATCGGTTCTGAAGACAATGAAACCTTTTGGTTTTAACGACTCGATGTCCTCATTCGGTCGAAACCAGGTTTCGGTTATCGCTTTGTAGTAGGAGTGAATGCACTTCGAGGTTAATTCGCCCAATTTGTTCCCCAGGCTGCAGACATTTGTGCTGAACACCCGCAGGCCCGATCTGTGGCTAGTAATGGGAAATCGGGGGAAGCATTCGGGCTCTAGACCCGAGTTCGCCCTTCGTTTTTTGCAGCGGGGGGTTTACGGGATATGCCAGGTGTTTCTAGCCTGGGCCTGCGTTTTAGGTTGGGCGGCTGTGGGTTGGCTGGGGTGTGTGACC